GGGATTGGTTAGGTATGTATGTAGGGCTTCTCTGTTCTCAGGGAGCTTGATGATCTGGAGCTGCCAAAACTTTTGCAACTTTTAAAGAGCATTTTTCCAAGCCACTCATTAGTTTACTTTAGTTCTTGGAAATTGACCATAGTTTGGTGCATCCCAGACTGATTTGGGGTTGGAAGCATGGCCAGGCAATGGGGGAGGGGAGCTGCCTGGACCCCTGCTGCTTTGTGTTTGGGCCTTAGGGGTTCAGGGAGCAGTTCTCTGCCACTTTCAAAACTAGTCAGTTTCCTTCCATTGGTGGCAGTTGACTGGGGTTCTGCAAGTCCCAGGCTTAGGATTGGGGTAGATGTTGAGGAGTGATCAGGTGGTGAGTGGATGGCTGCCTGGGCTCCCACTTACATGTGGCTGGGGGTTCAGGAGCAGCTGTCTTCTGCTGTTTTAAGACCTAGTCAGTTTTCTTCCATTGGTGGCAGCGGAGTCCTTGGTCAGCCTCCAGGCGCACACAAGGAGTGGTCTAAGCTATGTGCCCACAGCCCCTGTGGTCATATCCCACCTGCCATATCCGACCTATGAGTAAGCCTGTTCAGTTACCAGCAACAGAAAAAAAAATGATCAGCTCTTTTAAAACAACAGAAGGCTACCTCCAGAGGCCCTAGCCATGGACACTGTGGTCAAGTGCAGGCAATAGGAGTTGGAGCAGCAGAGTTCTGGCTGCATACCAGAGCAGCCAGTTACTGTGTTGTTGGGGGAGGGAGGCTTGAGGAGCAGTGCAGTGTGGGATGCCTGACAGACCTACCAGATGCGAGTCTGGAAAAAACTCAGTACTGTATCTGCCCATAATAGTGAACTGGTTCGCAGAGAACTAGTTCAAAATAATACCAGATTATCCAGCTGTACTTCTGAAACTGTTCAGGAGGTTCAGACCATTCAAGAATGGCTTGTACACCTGGCCATTTGCAGTTTAAACTGTGTTTTTTACACTTGTGTAGGGACCCCAGAGTCCCCACAAACTATATACAGTTTTACCTCAGAAAAGTGTATATAGACAAGGCCTTGGAATTTGTTTGATGTAAGAACTCTTCCTTCATGGTAGCTTCCTAGTTAGCTTCCAGTGCAGTAGGATCCTGATTTTGATTTGGGCCTGTAAGTGCTAGTATAGTACAAATAAATATGATAGTTTAATGGCTCCCCTGTTCAGAATATAGAGGGAGCTAAATCATTCCGCCATGCCACCCCCTTCTCCCCCAGTATTAGGCCATAGTCAGGTCATCTTAGTGAACTGAATTATACTAGCAACACTATATGAGAGAATGTGCTTTTGCATCAAATGTGTTATTAATGATCCTGTGGCAGCAGTGTAGCAACGTAGAGGCAGTGGCACCTTATGGTTGTTGGCCTGATCACAACTGTGATTTGCACACCTGTCAGGGCTGCCATTTTTGTACCCCTCCTGCCTCCCTGCTTTAATTATACCACTGTCCTGCAGAGTCTTTTGCTCTTTGTCCAGAGGACTGTGGTCCTGGGGTAAGGTGAGTCCCAGGCAGATGAATTCTTTTTTTCAAGCTGTTTCCTCTCCCATATAGGACTTTTATCCTGTCTCCAAAAGAAAACAATGACTAAACAGATGTCAATGCTGTGTAATATATTCTTGTAAAGATCAGATTAAAAGGAAAAATGCTTAAATGGGATGTAAAAATTGGCCTTAAATTCAGCAATGGTTATAAACAAGTTAGTATAAAATTTATTGTAAGGCTAATAAAAATATGTTCAAATGGAAACATTTTCAAAGTCAAGGGTCAAACAGATCAGCGTTGCACTAGTGCATCAAGAATAAAATAAACTAAAAACATAGTAAAAATAAATGATAGTGAACAATTTACTTCCATTGTTCAAGCTCAGAGGAAATAAAAGGAAAGAAAGAATAAGTAAATATAAAAAATTAGTCATTTTTCCAGATAATTCTTTAGTTGTAGGTAACTATTTAAAAAAAAAAATTACTAGTGTTCTTGGCACTTAGTTTTAGTGTCCAAACTTGGACAACTTAGAGACTCAGTTTTTTGTATGCATGGTTAGCACCTGTTCAGAGCTAAATGCAAAACACATCATCCTCAGCCTTTCCTATAAAAAACAAACAAACTTTGCTCATTTAAACAAAAACCACCCTTCCAAAACACTAAAGAACAAACTACATGTGTGGTTGAGCTGGCTTAATATGCAGGTTGTTTTGTCTTAAATTTAAAGCGGCTATATATCTCCCGCAGTTTTGTTTGGGTGTTTCCCTTTGTTCCTGTTTGTATTCTTCAGTGATAATTAAATGATATTCCATTAGCTAAATATTTTTACTTTTTATGAAATTACTGATACAAAACTAAAGGGTATTCATTGACCATACAATCTTTTTAACCTGTGTCATTCTTACTTTGCACAAGGGAATTACAAATGTTCATTATTCAGGAAACATGAAGGGAAAGATGTAGCTAATTTTCATTATATAGCACCGAAAGGCTGATAGTCTTAAGTAGGTTTATTTATAATGGTAACATGTGCATTTGCCGCTTTACTTTTTCTTTCATTTAATTTATTTTTAGGTAGAAATGTGTTGAGACAACCCTGGTAGATGTTAGTTACCACATGTTTCTTGATTGTCTTCATTTTAGCTCCAACAGGTTGAACATAGGAGCACGTCTGTGTTGTCAGAGTATGGGAGCAGTATCTTGCCTTTCTTTTATAGGGTTTTCTACCTGACAGTTATATACATGTACATATTTCTTGCATACTCAAGCATTCATAGGAAGATCTAGCCAAAACATTTGTGGTCATATAGTGTTGAAGGACTAGAGGAGATAAAGCTGTTTAAGAGCAATTAATCAGTACATTTACATTAACGTACTATATAATGACATATTTTTGGATCACAGTTTCTCTACCTGCACATTATTTGAGCCTCATTTCATTTCCTTAGTTTTCTTGGTCAGCACGTGTAGCAGATTTTGTCACTCCAAATGTAGGAAGTCGTGTGTGGGGGGTGGATTTCTGAGAAAAATGATGCTGATGGTGAGTATTCTTTGTGCATTGGACTTGCCAACTCAGATCAGAGAAGGAATATTACTAATAGAGTTTTTCATTTAATAGTGGGCATTCATTCTTGGTGCTTCCAATTGGTCATAAAAAGAGTCTCTTGCTATTTTGTGTGTTTATGATGCTTAGTTTTCTTTTCAAGAAAAAGAGTCTAAGAAATGACATGTTGTGCCCACATCTTAAATACTGCATGCAGTACTGGTCTCCATATCTTGAAAAGGATGTGGTAGTTAGAAAAGGTACAGAGAAGGGCAGTAAAGATGAACAGGGGTCTGGAGCAGCTGCCATATCAGAATAGATTAGAAAGGCAAAGACACTTCAGTTTGGAAGGGAGAAGGCTGAGCGAGGATGCAGTAGAGGTCTGTAAAACAATGAAGGGCATGGATAAAGTGAATAGGGAACCAAGTCCCAGAATATGAGAATTAAGGTTACCCCTGGAAACTATCAGGAAGCAGGTTTAAAACAAACAGAGGAAGTGCTATTTTTTTTACTCGGCACTTAGTTAACTTAAGGAACTTATTGCCACCAAAGGTTATGCAGGCAGATGGTATAACCATGGTCAAAAAGAGACTATAGAGAAATTCACAGAGGATGGGTCAATTGGCAACTCCTAAATAGAACAATCCAGGGAGGTATCCTCTAACGTCCCTAAACTGATTAATTTCCAGGAGGGTATGACGTGGGATGGATCACTAGGCATGCCCCATTGATATATTCTCTCTATAAAACAGGCACCAGAATAGAGGCAAGGGGGGCTTGAACCTCAAGCCATGAGGAGAGGAGCAGGGGCAAGATGCTGCTATGAAAGAGGTGTCACAGCTAAGAGCTTGGCTAATCCTTCCCTGAGCCCAGAATGGCTGCAGTTTAATATTATGAGTGAGCATCCAAAGCCCTGAATTTGGGAGCAGCTGCAGAGCAAGGGAAGGCTTAAATTGGTTCTTGGGGTGATACCTGATGCCTCTTCTTGCAGCAGTTTCCTGCCCCCAGTCTGCTCCATGTACCTAAAGGCTCAAGCCCCTGCTTCCATTCTGGCACCTCTTTACTGAGTGCCTGGAGCTTACATAGCATCTCCCTATGCCTCTTATGGCACATGTTCTGTGGGTTAGCCACTTCTGCTCTAAAGCTCGGGTTGTCAACTGGAGGTGCTTAAGAAGGCTCTAGGGGGTATGCACCGGTGGGCAGAGACAGAGTGCTGCCACGCACCATCATGCACTGCTGCACAGGTACTGCTCGCCCAGACAGATGTGGGGGGCAGGGGAAGATTGTATATGGTGGCTGCTGCTCTCGACCATGTGCTATACACCTCTCACCCCCATCTGGCTGCCAGGGGTACACTGATGCAGAAAGGTTGAAAACCCCTGTTCTAAAGCATCTGTTACTTGTTCATGTCAGACAGGCCTATTTGCTGTATGATGACTGTAGGCCTAGGCTCACTTAGAGGGAACTACAAGCTCTCCTTAGTGGCCAGAGGAGGTCACTAAATGTATAATAATGGAGTGTGTGGGACAAAATATGAAAAAGCAGGAGTAGGAGTGCATGTTACAGGTTAATAACTAGAGAGCTAAGGAAGGCCACTGAGCAGAGAACTCCAGCTAGTGCCTACTGCCCCTTGAATGTGTTTAAGTTGCCAGTGAGCACCACCCATTGAAACTCCACTTAGACTTGCATGGACAAGGGAAAGGAAAACAATCTTGTAGTCATCTGGGTTCCCTCCAGCCAACATCTCCTTGGTCTGGCTACTGGACTAGATGAACCATTGGTCTGACCCAGGGTGGCCCTTTTTTTGTGTTCTTAAAAATGAACTTAGAGCAGTATCTAATTGCATGAATGTTTGCCTTGAAATATTAAAAATGTAGTGGCATTTCACTGTAAAATTCAATTGGTGAATGGTTTATTTTAAATTACCACCTTCTTGTTTTTTGCAGGAAATTTGGTGAGCGACCACAACCTAAACGCCTCACCAGGTAAGCATTGAAGAGCTTATCTCTCTACTTTTTTTATTTCAAACAAACAAACAAACAGTACTTCAGATTGAACTAAGAGATTGTATTTTGCCAGTTTTCATTTCTGAAGAATCAGAATCAGCAAATGCTTTAAGATATTATCACAGAACATCTAAAAATAGGGTGGAAGGCGGTTATCTAGTCCAGTCCCCTGCTCAAGACCGAACCATCCTTGTCTAAACCATTCCAGCCAAGTGTTTGGCTTAACCACCTCTTAAATTCTAATGACGGAGGCTTCACAACTTCTCAGGTTGTTCCAGTGCTCAACTCCCCTCATCGTGAGACAGTTGATTCTAATATCCAATGTAAATATACCTTGGTGCAATTTAAGACTTCTGCTCCTTGTCCTGTCCTCTGTGGCCACAGATTAGTCGATCTCTGGCCTCTTTATAACCATCCTTCAGATATTGAAAACTGTTATATGACTGTTTATAAATATTGGTTTAATATTTTTAAATTAGTAGATTAAAAGTATTTTAATTTTTGTATAACCACACAACTCTGAACACTGAAATGCTTATTGTTTTGTTTTTAATCTGAAAATCAAATATTTGCAGAACTTGCATAGCTTGCATCTACTCCATATTATTTAAGTGATCCCATAATAGGTATAAATGTGCCCAGGTCAAAATCTCTAGAGATGACTCCAAGCTTCTCTTCATTGCCAAATATGGTCAATGGTGGCATGTCAAATGACAAAGCTCTTCTACTGACAGAATTCAGATTCTGTGTTTGAGTGTTTTTCATGAAAATATGCAGCACAAGCAATAATGCTGTCAAGGAATGATCTCTCCTAGAATTTAAGTGTACAGTTATAACTTAGTGTATTCTAAATATTTTTTTCATTCTTAAGATAGTTGTTAAATGGTTTTTAGAATGCAAAATTTGTGTTGTTGGTGTATCTTATTTAGTCTATAAGGTGCATATCTACCCTGCCTTCTGTCTGGAGCATTGTACCTGAATTATTCTTGCTCTTGGAATTTTTGTTGTCAAGGTCTGAGAGAGGTGGTTGTTAGGTTTAAAGATCTGGGTTTAGCTAAATTAATGCCAGTTTCTGTAATCAGTGTCAACAAGAGAGTGACGTGGTTAGCTTCTTGTCTGGCTGTCCAACTCCCCAGCCTAAATAACTAGGAATTTGTTTACAGTGGTTTGACTGGAGTAGGTCTTTCTAACAAGTCTGGAGCTGAAAGGAAACATTTAAAATTCTCTGCCTTTTATAACTCACTGTAGATGCAGTTGAACTTCCCATTTGCTAATTGTTGCAGTAAAGTTATTGCAAACAATTATTCTGTGGCAATTTTCAATACATTTGTACCTACAAATGTTCACTATTTTATGTTGATGGCTTCCTGGGCTGATGTGTAGAAAAACTTCACTTTGTTTACTGTGTTATATGTGAACAATAGCATATTAGGAGCATTGCCCGCTGTTACTCTAGCTTTGTTCCTTTTAGACTGAAGGTTTGGAATGCCTCAAACAAAACTAGGATGCAGATCTTCACGTTTTCTGCCATGTCAGGAGAGATTGTACACTGAGCTTGTTCCGTATGTACACAGCAACTTTGTATGTAATGCAAACCAGGATTAAAGCCATAGAAGTGTCTGAATCTGGTGAACGCTTATCTTCCCCCATGGTTTATAATTATAAATACACATTTACAGAAATGTAAAAACAAAAAAAAGTCTAAAACATGAAATATTTTGCCCACTTAAGTTAATGCCACTTGCGGGTTACTTGGAAGTTATTGGTAGTATTGTCTGATGTCTCGGGCATAAACATATTGTACTGTATATTAACTGTGATGAATCTAGATTTCATGCACAGGTTTTAAATACTTAGTTCTTCAGGTGTCTTTCTTTGGGGAATGTTGACTAGGACTGGGTAACTATATCCTTCAGAGCAGCGGGTCATAACCTTGTCCACACTGTGACCACATATTATAACAGCCATGAAGGGTTGACTGCCAGGTTGTGGCATGAGCCCCCCTGCTTGGACCCCCGTCTGTCCACAGGGATGAAAGGCTTCTGCTGCTGGCAGTCATGTCCAGGGTTAAAGCAGGGCAGCCCCAGGAGAGGCAGCCAGCTCTGTGCGTCCTGTCCCACTCCCATGCCAGTCTGCAGTATAAAAAAGGTTGGGAACCACCGACTTAGAATTGAGTAGGAAACAGTGTTTCGGATCTAATAGACATATCCCAGAGATTGATTTCTAAAGACAACAGGAAGGCTGGAAACAGGAGTATTGTGGTCTTTTTCTTTCTGTTTGCTTTGAATATTAGAAGTCTTAAACTGAAGATATAATAGAGTATGCAAGTAATAAATATTACTACCTGCATAAATAGTTTCAAATAACATACCTATAGACTCTATTAACTGTTAGCTAAATGCTAATCCATATACAAATGTCCTTAGTAACCATTATCATCTTTTACATCCCCATGATTTCCAGAGTGACAAGAAAACTATTTTTTTAAGATGCTTGTTCTTCAGGAAATGCTGAAACCATTCTTTTCCCCTTCATTGCATAAGTTCCTTTGGAGAAATAAAAATATCTCCCAGCAACTTCAACTTTTGTTGGATTTTGCTACTATTTTCCTTTTTTGCAGTTATGCAGAAAATTTAGTAGGATGATGTTTACCTTGTTTGTAAAATGCTTTGTTAGCAAGTGATGAAAGTTGCTCTATGAAAGCCCTGGTGGTAGTCATCAAACCTTTATTTCTACATGGATAGAAAAGGAGGGTATTGTCCTTTTGTGGGGATTAAGTCTCCAGACTATTTTTTCTGCTGTTGCAACATAGTAGGATGAAAGGCAGAATTAATTTTTCCTGTGAAATGGTGCTAAACAAATACTGGAACTGACAGTACACAGCTATTCCAGGCTCTGTTTATAGCAACGAGTCCAAGAAGTGCATAATATGAATACTGCAGATGTTAATGACTTCATTAGATAATTCAGTCTGGAGCTTGAACACAGGTTTCTGATGGAGTAAAATGGATTTTTAAAAAAGTTAGTATTGAAATTCATAAATATAACCTATTGAAAATATATTAGGTTTTGTGGTTACAAATACTGGATGTGCATCTGAATATTCTTATATATAGCGCAGGTAAATATACTTCAGAGAGATGATTTTTTTGTCTCCATGCAGCATAGTATCCAAGTTACCAGCTATTAGCCCAATTTAAGGAGACCAGGTAACTAACATACAATTGTAACTTGTCCTACGTTTATGTATCACGTACATCAATCACCAGTATCCATATGCCAAATACAAGAATATAAGGTGTATGTTTGTCCCAGGTAGAATATGGTGTCTGTCCCGTTGACTCTACTAAACAAGATTGTATTTTGTAGGCTGCCTTTATTTTAGGAGTCCTTCTGTTAAGAGGTGCTAAGGCAAAAATACTGCTTCCTGTGAGAGAACCATAGATCAAATAGTTATTTAGTTATAATGACCATGTTATGGATTTAGCTTGAATTTCTGTCTTTCTCCTTTTAGATATCCTTTGCTATACACTCTTGTCATTTTCAGATTCAACAGGAAACATTTTGTGCCTAGCTAGTTGAATAAACAGAGATGAGGCAAGAAGCACCTGAGAATACAGATAAGTGCCTATTTAGATCTACAGCTGCACCTACTCAGGCAGTTAGGCGCATAAATCTCATTGACATCAGTGCAACTGGGGCATTTAATCTGCATAGGTGAATTTGTAAATCCCATTAGACATGTATCAACATCATCGGGCACCTAAAATACCTTTATAAATATGGTTCCACAACCTTGAATTGTTTATGGTACTTAAAGCATAGCTGGTACAGCATGCAGGTGACCCCTGTAATGTGTTATTCTCTACCTAATTGCTTCAGGGTTGGTTGTCTATATTTTGAACCAATGACAATTTGCATATGGTTTTCCTGGTATTGTAGAGATGAATGCTAGAATATCAGTGAATAGCAAGTACAAAGCTTAAACATTCATTTTGCCTGGTTCCCTGTGGGGACTAGGAAGCTTTCCTTGGTAGGTGAGTAAGCAAATATCAGTTTAGACATATGTGAGCATTTTTTAATTACTTTTTTTCTTTGGGGTCTGAAGGTATATACCAGTAAACCAATGGGATACTTAACAATAGCACAAGAAATCAGCCTCGGCATGTCATGTAAGCACCTTGCTTTAGGAGTTGTAAACCTTGGATAAAATGAAGGGATATTAGTTTAAAGTGTGTTTCAGATCAATGCATGTAGCAAAATATTTGTTGTTGTAACAGTGAGAGCACAGTGTCCTTCTTGGTTTGATTTGATTGTTGAAATAAACACCAGTGTTCTTTTACAGAATCATCAGGTTGGTTGAAGGCAACCAACAACTGCTGGAGAAGAGAGCAAGATAGCCTTAATCTATTATAATATAATATGTAATTATGGGGTACAAATTAAACAAAGTTATTTTTGCCTAGTAGTTGCTTTTAAAACACTTAATTCAGACCCTGTTTATTATTATTTGAGTGTGTTGAATCGTCATCTGTTTTGCATCCTTTCAACCTCAGTTGTATTTATTTGTCTTAAAAGTTCTACATAGATGATTATATCCATTTAAAAAATAAAACAACACTCCTTTCAAAACATAATTCCATTTTACTTTTTAGGGAAGCTATGCGAAACTATTTGAAGGAGAGGGGTGATCAAACAGTACTAATCCTCCATGCAAAAGTTGCACAGAAGTCGTATGGAAATGAAAAAAGGTAAGGAGGTCTCCTCTACCTCATCTTCTGTTCACTCTATGGGGGGATGACACATTTTTGTGTGTCATCAACTATTGTGGTACCTATCAACTGCTTCAAAACCTCTCATTCAAACTGAAAAAACATGTTTATAGACTCTAAATTAAATATATTGCCAAAGACAGTTACTTGCATAATGAATGCTGCAAATAATTTTGCTTTCAGCATGACAATGTGCACACTTCTGCCAGTAGTCTCAGACTCTGTCCTGGTTCCACCCTAGCTTCTTCTGCCATCTTCTTCCAGATTAATTTACTGTTTCGGTTGTATGCGATAGGCAGGATATTAGTTTCTAATATTTAATCAGATATAGTCTGAAATGAAAATCTTTTGAGAAAATAAATGTCACAGTGTATAAGTAAAATGAAACCTAGAGAAAATCTTAAGAAAACTTATTCTCTATTTCTGTTTTAAAGTATTTTTCCATAGTAATAGGATCTGTGGAGATCAATTATTTTTGTTTGGAGGAAGAAGAGATGATGGAAATTAGCTTTTGTTTCCCCTTCATGTTAAGTAAAATGTTTGTTCATATTAAAAATGTTTGTTCCCCACCCCAGAAAGGGGAGACTGAAGTGTTTATTTAAGTGCCATCTTAAATGGGAATAGTTTCATAAATGAAGTCTGTAATAGCAATAAGATATGTCAAGATGTGCATCATTTTAATGCATAAATTAAACTGTGATAAAACAGACTTGTTAAAGCTGGGTCACTGTATAAACAGTCTGATGCTATCTGTCTGATCTTGTCAGTGTAGGTGTGTATACTGCAGTCGTCCCCACAGTATCTAAGCAATGCATTTCCGGATAATTACATTTGCTTTAGGTAGTTTTCTAAGGCAAGAAGCTGTAAGAAAGTAGCCTAGACTTGTTCATGAATGCATTTGATGAAAATGAGTGTGCAGGGTTTTACAAACAGTTCTGCTGAGGCATTTAAATCCTGACTTGCAGTTCAAAACAGAAGCTCCCTCACGCCTAGAATTCTAGTTATTCTCATAAAGTACAGTAGCATTAAATATTTATTGAGATGTAGACAAACATTTCCAGTGCTAAACTGTTGAGCTAAAAAATACTGGACTAGACCTAATGAGGTTTTTCAGATGTGTTAGCAATATAACGTAGCCTTAAAATAGCACCTGTGCAGCATTTACTTTTGTTTTGATGCTTAATCTTTCCCCACATTTGTCCACATCCTGTTGTATCATCTTGCTTGCTGCCATTTTCTGAGGTTTATGGTACCATGTAGCATAGTATATACATGGTAAAAAAAAGATGAAAATTGGTGTCCATGAGAAAATTGCCTGCAAAACTTGGAGATTTAGTGGTACCAAATTCAGGTAGGTAACATCTACCTTTTTGGCCTTTGTTCATTTAAAGGCAAGTTTGGATAATAACAGACATATTTTACCATATTAAAAGGGTGTGAGGACTTCTGTGTGTGAGTTGTAACTTTTGTGTGATCATTCCTATCCCATGGTAAGTGGAAGCTAAACTGGCGCAGCATAATTCTCAGTGGAGCTGGTAAACATTTAAAAGTCTCCTGAGGAGTACTATTAAGTGGAAATTAATACTGGACCTTCACACTAAATTTTGCATTGTTTAGTGGTGTCATGACTGCAGGTATGGGCTCAAACTGAACAATAATCAGATGTTGGTTTTGGTTAATGCATAAACAATAAATAATTATGTCTTTGCATGACAAAAAGGACTTCTACGTTTTACTATAGAAATTAAGTGTCCAAACTTAAATGAGTACAAAATTCTTATTAAACCGTAAGTTTTAAAGAGAGGAGTGTGGCAGTGGCTATGAATTTCATACTGGAATATAGTATAACTTCCAAACTGATGTTATGTCATTTTTTATATATGAGGGCAATGTTGGAATATTTACAAGAATTGCTTTTTGATTAACACTTAAACATTCTGACTTTCTTCTGATTTTTAAACCAGTGCTTATATTGTTCAGAAATTACAGTACACTATTTCATTAGGCTCCCAAACTGATAGTCCTGCAAATGATGTCATATTCTTGGTCACATTGCCAGAGTCAACAGCATACTCAGAAATTCCAATTGTAATTAAATCTCTGGAATCATTTCTTCCCCAAGTTATACAAATGTAAAGTCAGATCCTTGATTTTGAGTTAATTTTATTTTACTCAGTGGCACATAGCTTTTGCCTTTCATGTTGAAGTGCTGGGTAAAATTAGTATAGGTTTTAAAACAATCTTATGTTTGGGCATTAATTTTCTCCACTTTGCTTCCATTTCTGAAGAGAATTGCTATTTGTGTGTGAAAGATGTGTTATACTCTTTAAGTTTTATGGAAAGTTCTCCTTGGCTTTTATTTTGTGTTGGACAGAAGTGTCTCAAGGAAATACTTGACTCACTTTACATGTCCAGTATTGTACAGAGAACGTTTTGTATCTGTATGAAACGGGCACCTATTTTTTTTCAGAAATCATAATTCTCTTCATAGTTTTCAGGTGTAAAACAGTGTAATCTAGAGGCTGTAGGAGTTCCTGGTTACTGTTCCCAGCTTTACATTTAGGGTAGAATTCTGTTTCCCACAGTATGCCTAGATGACCATTTTCTGGCCTCGTACCAGGATTGATTTTTTTTTTTTTTTTTTTATGCTTTCCTGCTTTGTTATGTATAAGCACATTTGCATAATTTGAATATGTGCAGTAGTAGCCCGCATGTTGTTTGGGCATATATACAGCCATGCAAGCATATACTTGAACATAAGTCTGAAAAAGTTTGGAAGTGCTTAGGGAAGAAGGGGGGAACTCTAGTATTTTTAGCCCTAATAGCTGAGTGGTTAGGGTACTTGCCAAGAAAGGGGGAAACCTGGGTTCCAGGCCTCCCTCACCCAGCAGGGGTTTGAACTTGAGTCTCTCTGACTTCCTAACCACATGTTAGGTATTATCCAGTCCCCTTTCCTGCACTTACGAAATTTGAGCCACTATCCCAGAAAGCAGTGCAGTGGGGAAGTTTCTGTCCATTGGGATATTCGTGCTTTACGTGGAGTCCCTCTTATCCAGGGCAGCAGCAGTTTCACTGAGCCCCACAAACTCTAACTTGTTGTTTTTCTCCTGGTCCCATATGTCTCCCTCTTGGCTGCGGAGGGAACTGGGTTCAAAAGGAGTACTGGAGAGGGGACTAGATAATACTTAACTTGTGATGTTTGTGGTTAGAGCATAGTGCTGGGAAGTCAGAGAAATGCAATTTAAAACCTCTGAGTGAGGAGGGCCTAGAACCTGAGTCTTCTGCTTCTTGGCTAAGTACCTATGCTACTTGGCTATTAGGGCTAAAGCTTGGGAAGCTGCGTGCTTCTCCTATGACATCTAATATGTTAATAAGTGGTTTCTGGTCCGCTACCTTTTTATGACTCGCACACTTGAACGTTGCGAACTGGTTGCACGTGTGTAGCAGTGTACCTGCCCAACCAACTGAGTAGCCTCCTGCACATGCTCAGTCTATACACACACCAAAAATGAACAGTTAGAAAACTGGTATTTAGGTGCACAGAGGGAAATAGAATTTTGGCTTTAGTTTGCTCTGTCTTCATCCCACATTTTAATGTTCTAAGTGCAATTTGCTATGCCGTGAATGAAATACACTTTTTATTAAGCTTCATCGATATAACTGTAAAAAGTTAATTACCTTGGTGGACAGTACTATTTTGTTGTTATAGTTGTTATTTTATTGAAGGATCCTAGGGAGAGACAGTTTCTGATATGTTGCCAAGCAAATGGGGACTTCCTTTGTTGTTTGTCTATACAAAACATAGCACGGTGGATTCCTGATACTACTTTATGGTCTTTAAATCCTAATGTAGTAATAGTAACAGAATGGTTGTCAGCTCTTGAAATGAGTACATCTTTCTTCAGTAGTAACAGACTTTGGAACAGCAGACCTGACTGAAAACTGTCAGAAGAAATTTGTAGGTGAACAAATTGGTACAACACTTGTTCGACATGGATATTGTATTTTGTTATGGAGTCGTCTTGGTTCTGTGGAGACTTAAGGTTCTAAATCTGACTTGTACTAGTATTGTGCTAGAGACTTGTATTTCTCTAAACGTCCTGCACCAGGATTTTCATTCCTGGATCCCTGCTTTGTAGCATCACACACAATCTCTTGAAGCTTTTTAAGTCCTTAAGGATGGTCACCAGAGGAACTGAGGGCCAGCCCTCCTGGCTGATTCCATTCTGTTCTCCCTGACTTTGTTCAGCATCTTCAGACTGTTCTAGCTGATTCCTTCTTTGCATCTGTTGATTAAGGAGTTTATTTTGTAAGAGCTGGACCTTTCCAGCTGCTTTTTAGACTTTTCTATTCCTCTCACTGAGTATACTTAACCATGTGCCTGCCCTCTGGTCAGATCCAGGTTATTAACTATTAACTATTATTGCTTTGTGGTTGAGTTGTTCACCTTGTTCAAGTCTTGCCATGTGGCTTCAATGCCTGTTTGTAGCACTCGGACACCTAATCCTTTTTCTCTTTTTTTCTGGTTGCATTGTATTCGTTAGTGGTGTTGTCAGCTTCTTTAATTCCCGAAAAGGAAAAAAGGCTGCTCAGTGATTTTATGTTCAGAACAAAGTGGGTAATTGACAAACTTATCTCCTGCTTTGTTGTCTCTGAATCAACCATCAAGTGCAAGGACAAATATTTTCCTGAAAATAGCCTAATAATTGAGAAAAGCAGGTGGTTTATCACTCTTAGGCCTTCCTCAGAATGACTTGGGAATATTTCTGTAAGATGAGCAAAGGGATGATGCAGAGGGCTTCTAAAGATAGATCCTTGGAAGTTGAAGTCCAAGTTAAAAAAAAAAAAAAAAAAAAAAAAGGA